CACTCAGCACTTCTCTTGACAGCTGAAGTGGGGCCCTCGCACCGAAAGCGACGCCGACGCGCCGGGTTTCACAGGGAGCCGTCAGCGCTGCCAGGGAGCCGGAGAGCCAACGGGTTAGCCAGGCTGTGCCGCTCCGAGCCGCAGCTCCCGGGAAACCTGCACACGTTGCTGCTGGGATGCAGCTTCCTTTCCCTCCCGCTTGTCTCGTGGTGCTGCTGCCTTAGCGAGGAGCTGAATAGGTGCCGTGGACCCGGATCTTGTGAATGGGTAAATGAGTAAGTCGTGAGAAAGGCTGCTGCAGTGGAGTCCAGGTCATGGAGAACGGCAGTGGAGTCTAGAAAKATTTTATTATTATTAATAATAATGATTTACTTAAAAACCCACTGCGGCAAGAGCTTGCCAACTGCTTCTTTTTGTAGCTTGATCTCCCTATTGACAGCTGCAGCTGATAATCTYAGGTAGTATAGAAGCTGTGATGTTTAAGAAGGTGTTAAAAGCTGTAATTCTTAATTTTAAGTTCTTAATTTCCTAAATTCCTAGTTTCCCAAATTTCTTTAAATTTCCCCCAAACGTCTTTGGTTTTGCTTATTAATAAATAGTCTATTTTATCTATAGCCTGCATCAAAATGGAGAAAATGAGCTTGCAAATGCCCTGTTATATTTAGAGGCACTGGGGAAATAGGGAATACTGTGTGCTGTTACAATAAGCATCTAAGGGCAGCCGGGCTTTTCCCTTGTCCAAATAATGCAGCACTGAAAGGTCAGGATCGAGATCTGACCAGTATCAACCAAAGTCCAGGATTGAAACTGGCCTGGCAAGGGCTGTTCCCTCACCCCGCTGAGGGAATCCTGCCACTCGTGTCCTTTGTGTCAGGATTCATGCCCTGCTTTGGGGCCAGCACCAGCCCCTCTGCTGCCATAGGTTGGTCTTCTCAAAGGTCACTTTTGTGCCAATATAGCATCAGGACGTAGCGGTTTCATCCCTGTTCCTCAGCAGAGCCAGCTTTGGAGCCTGCAGCACTCCTATCTCCAGTATATGTCACCCCAAAGTAGCTATTTAATCCATAGAATCACAATGTTCAGGAAGAAAAGGGTTACAAATTACCCTTTTTCTCCTGTTTCCATAAAACCTTGCATTTTTCTCCAAGCTGAGGTGTAGACTCAGGTTAGCCCAGACCTTTCTGCTTGTGAGTGCTGGGCTTGCAGCAGTTTCAGGCGCTGCCTCTGTGTCCCTTGTCCCTGTGAGCTCTGGACATGCGTCTGTCCTTAGGAGCAGGCATGGGCAGCCCTCACCCTGCCAGGCTTTTCTACTCATGGTGCCGAGGTGGAAGGAGCCCAGCAAAGGAGCAGCCTGCTTATTTTGGGCATTGGTATGTACCTGTATGTGAAGCCATGGCCCTTCTTGAAGCGTAGAAGGGTGTCTGCCCTGGGGCCTGCTSCACTTCAACCCTTGTAGAAATACTAGGGCCTTTGAAACGCTCCCCGGCCAACTGGCACAGAAAGAGGTATGTTCAGGAAAAGTAATGAAGAAATCCTTGCCTCCTTACAAGGAGGGTTGAGGAGCAGGCAGAGCTCCGTGGAGTTTGGTCTGGTGCCACAAAAAGTGACCCAGGGCAGTGTAGAGCATAGCAGAGAATGTATGGATCGGTGTTGTGAGGCTCTTCCCGAAAACTCGTGGAAAGCTGAGCTGGGTTTACACGGTCAGCCTGTATTCTGGTGCTTGACTCACTTTAGTGAGACAGTGTGTGAAGTTTTATATAAAATGGTAAATGAAATTAWTATAGCCGCTGAATTTGGGGAAATACCGAGCCATGTCGTTGGTGTAAAAGATGATCAGCACAAGTGAGTCACTGATGATTGTATAAGCCTCTCTATATCATAAAAGCAGCCTTCATTAGACAAGCAATGAAGTTCCCTTCGAGACATTAAGGAGTGTCGGTTCTGATTGTGGAAAATTACTGGCAGAGCCCTCATTAGTCACCAGAGCTGCTTGGTGGTTGTGGCAAAATGCAGCCCTCGGGAAACTTCTGCTGAACTGAAACGGGGAGGGCTGCAGGAGGCTTCTGTTGTGTTAAATGTATACGTACAGATATATAATGTCGGTAGCTTTGATATCCAAAAGGTCTGATCACCAACGGATGTTTAAAGCTTGTCAGAAAGCGAAGAAAGCGTTARAAATATGAGAGTGATTCAAAATTGGTCTGTATTTAATAAAATTCTTTYGTAAGAAAAGCAGCACTGCACCAAGTGTTGGAGAGTGCAAGAGTTAAAGGCTGAATATATTTAGCTCCCGAGTGACTGTTTAGGGTGGTTAGCAGCATGCATGCAGAAACATATATATATATTTTTTCCCTGCTTTGTGGATCGATGCTCCCCACCGTCTTGCACTTTGTTTCCGTGTCCTTGACCCTCCGTCCCGGGGGTGGTTCCTTTGCCTTTCAGCCCAGCGTGTGTCCAACATCCTCACTGTAACTATGCACATTTTCCTTGCAAACTCCCACCTTCTGCAGCTTATTTGTAGGGAGGCTCCGAGCTCCCCAGGCAGGGAAGTCCTCGCAGGAGGCGTTTGGGGCTGCTCCCCGTGGCCTCATCCTGCTCCTTCCTCCCCACGGCCCTCGCTGACACCAGCTGATCCCGTCCRCACGTGCCCTTTGTGCCCCTGTGGTGCTGGGGACACACGCTTTGAGTCTCACTGATTTAGCTTATTGCTGCTAATTAACCAAGAGCAGAGCGCTCGTTAAGGCTGTAACGAGACTGCCTTGAGCACAACAGTGTATTAGGTGAAGACTTCCCCTCTTCGGCCTCAGGGAGGGCGCTTACTGGGGAGGATTAGAGTAAGCTGTTAAAATAATTTATTTTCTCCACTCTTACTCTAATTGTAAAACACATTTTCATGTTACTGCCAAACATTTTAATGTTACCAAAGTGTCTTTGCTGCCTTGTTTTATCATAACCACTTAGTGGGATCTTCAGCCTTTCTAGAATTTAGTTTTATAAAGTACTTCTGTGGGTTCTAAGTGACTTTATTTTTTCAGCTCAGCTTTAAGTGATATTTCTCCCAATCTGATTCACAACTCCTTACTGCCAGATTTCCTCATTTAAGAGAGGCTAATCAACCTGTATTGCTAGGAACCTTTTATTTATTTTAAGAAGAATGCAGGAACAGGGTGTTTGCCAGCGGGCTGCATCTCTGACCCTCTCGCGTCTCCCAACAGGTACGACCACATCCTGAAGTGGGAGCTCTTCCAGCTGGCGGACCTGGACACCTACCAGGGGATGCTGAAGCTGCTCTTCATGAAGGAACTGGAACGCATCGTGAAGCTCTACGAAGCCTTCAGGCAGGCGCTGCTCAGCGAGCTYGAGAGCCGCAAGCAGAGGCAGCAGTGGTATGCCCAGCAGCACGGCAAGAACTTCTAAGGCAACTGGCTTTTTAAGAGACTTCTAAGAGGACACTTAAGAGCTTTAAAAGGTTTTCACACTTCAAATGGTGAACAAGTGCTTTGGTTGAAGAGGCAGCTTATTTTTGTTGATGTTGCACCTTTGTTATTATCCTCTCAAATATTTTTCTACATGTATTATGTATTGTTTATAAAAATGAAAAATGTTTGTTAATTTTTTCCATACAAAAACTAGTTTATTCTGAAAACCAGTGTGGAGTTTAATCCGAGACTTAATGCTGGTATCTTCTAGCAGTCAGCTGCATTATTAAGAAGCTGGCTATATATTTTTAAATGGCAGTAGATACAATTATATGAAGTGTCCAAGATGCAAAACATCGTTCAAGTCCAAATCAGTAATTTGGTTTATTTCCCTTGGGATTTTGTATCTTTCTCTCCCGAGAGGTCTGTTCCTTGTTTACAGCTTTAATGTACAGAACACGGAGACTGTTACTTTTCAATAACAACTAGTGCTATAATCACAGAAGGAGATTTCCTCAATCTCAGCAAAATGCTTCATCCAAGTGAAGCATGAGTTGCCTTATTTTTTACTTTGCTTAAAGCATTATTACTTTAGATGTACTGCTGGTTTTCTCAGAAATTAGAGGGCAAAATGCTCATACCTTGTTAAAGACCAAGATCCCTAAGCAAACTCTTTGCAGGTCTGCAATGCTGAGTAAAAACTGGCATTTGATGAAGCCCAGTTGCATGGGGTGGTAATAGAGTTACCCAGCCAAGCTAGCAACCAGCTGTACCTTACCGTGGCAAGAAAATCAGGGATGTAACAACATCTTTTTTTACTGAACTTTTTCTTATAATAAAGCTTCCTTACAGGGGAAAATTTCTAATTGTACAGTTAAGCTCTCCAGCATTTTCATTTGGTTCATTGATTGTCCTGAAATGTTATTTATGGATTCTTTAGTGCAATAAACATTGTTGCAGACAAAAAAAAAAAAAAAAAAAAAATTTCTTGTAAATCCTCTTAATTCAATAAAAATCTTTGTTTAACGAGTGAGAGGGTGCAACAACTGACTTCTTGTCTTTTAAAAGGTCAAATAACTGCTCTTTAGAAGCAGTTTGAGGAGCAGAGGCCAGGCGGTTAACGGGAGTAGCTGCAGGTCCCCAGGAAGAGGTAGTGCAGCCCAGGCGTTGGGTTTCTGTGCGCGGAGCTCAGCTTTGTGCTGCAGGTGAGGCTGCCGAGCGGTGGATTTGGGAAGCCTGGCTYGGTCTCGCCTCAGGTTTGGGAAACATGAGTGAAAACAATGGGGAAACAAAAAGGACTGGACTAGCTGACCTCTAGAGGTCCCTTCCAACCTTAAGGACTCTGTAAAGCCTGGCTCTACCATCTTGGCACAAGTACCTCGGGGCTCCCACCTGGGCAGTGCAGCCGTCAGCAGCGTCTCCAACTGAAGCACAAACCCTGAAGGCCAAAAGGATGCCGAGAAAACAAAGTAAAAAAAGAGAAGTGCTAAACTCCGGTGGTAACTGCTACTCCATAGTGAATTATTAGGAACCGAAAGCCAACTTTTAATACTTTTGATGATAAAAGAATAGAACTGTTGAGCAYACTCTATGCGCTATAATGAATATATACAGAAAGGCAGTGAAACGTTCTCAAATACATGTACAAAGTGATATTTTGTGCATTAGTTATGAACAGAAATGTACGCTTTCCTTACAATATCATTAATATACTGTAGCAGAAGTGTCCTTACAATTCCTGGTAAASCAAGTTAATACTTTTTCCTTTTGATTACAGTGATGTAATTAAGCAGCTCATGGCAGATATGAGCTAAAGTTAATTGACGAAAAACCTTGATTACATGTTGCACTTGATCAAGTATTGGAAAATAAGTTGCCCTTTGAATAACACTAGGTCTGCCTGTATTTTGTTGCAGCATCATGTACGTGACCATGAAATCATTAACGAACTCATACTAATCAAAGGACAAAAACCAGTTTTCATAAATTAGCTGGGCATTCCACTCGACAGTGCAAATTAAAAGCACTTGGTATTTGCAGCAAAAGACGTATGTACATATTAACAAAACAAGAACCATGCCTACATCTTCCCATCACAGAGCGTGTCGTCGAAGGAACGTGAACGTGTTGAACCGGCCGCCGCGGGGTCTGGTCTTCGGCCTCGCGCGGGGCCGCGGGAAGGCGACGCCGCCGAGAGCCCCTCGGCCAGCGGCCCCCCRGCTCCCGCTCACATCTTCTTCCTCTCCGAGCCCTCAGCAGCCTCCGCTTTCGGCGCGGGGAAGGCGTGATGATACAAGTGTCTGTGAGTTGCCGCTGCACTGTACAGTTTGTACAACGCCTGCAAAAAGAGGAGGAATTTGCCTATTTGGATGGTTCAGCGTGCTTACAATGCTTATTTCCTACATTTTTTTCCATGTTACAGCTGCACGTTCAAAGCAGTTGCCACGTGCAATTTTTGCGCATCAACTTTTGATTATAGCTGAAAATCCAAAAGTAGCTATAATAGCTATATCCAAAGTTTGCATATATAGCTATATCCAAAAGTTAAGAGCTGAAGCTTCTTGCCCAGGGGAAAGCTCTGTGCAACTGTATTAAATCAAGACAGTTCTGGAGTAGGAGTAAGGTACCTGCTAGGCTTGGCTTTCCCTGTGGGTTTCATGCTTAAAATTTATATTTCAGCATCCTTGGCCTTTTGTTTTCCACCACCAAGCAGACACAAATGACGCCGGGGGARGTTTTGCTGTGAAATGGTTGTTTTTCCGCAGCTGAAGGCACATTTATTGCTATTATTTTAACTGCTGAAGTGCTTGGGATGTCCCAGAGGCCCGAGAGCCGCTAATTATCATGGATTTGACCGTGTTTCAAGGGAACGTGGGGTAAGGAAAGCCCTGGCTCCTGCCTGGGCCCGTCTCTTCCCTTGGGCTTTTCCTGGTGCTTGTTCCTCTGCTCCCGCGTTGCCCCAAGCAGCCCCACACACACACACGAGAAGCCAAAGGCAGGGGCAGATTTGGGGGTTCCTCTTTCTTYGGCTCGGGAGCTAAGGGGTGCCCCATGCCGGAGGGTGGGGGGCACACGTGTCACTTACCTCGTTTGTGCTTCCCTGGGGAGAGGCGTGGAGGGAAAGGAGAGGAGACAAAACAAACACTCTGTGCATGAGGAGGGCCCGGGCGCCGCGCGGCCTCCCCAGCCCTGGCCTCACCCCAGCGCCAACCCCGGCCGGGTGCCCCCAGGCCAGGGCACAGCCCTAATTCCTGCTGGGAGGCAGCCCCGAGGACCGGCTCCTTTGTTTGGACACCAAAAATTAAAAAATACAAGGCAGGTTTGGGAGCGCTTCCCCGCCAGCCCTGGTGCAGGGTGGCCCCTTCCTGCAGGCCTGGCCTTGGGAGGCCAGGTTTGGGAGCGCTTGGCCCAGGGGAAGAAGAGGCAGGACGAGGGTTTTTCCTGCGAGGTCTTGGGCAAGTGGCTCCCAATGTCACCCAAGGCACCAGAGCCCCAGGCCCGTCCCAGCCGCCCCCCACACTGCGCCCAAGGGTCCCCCCTCGCCAACGGGCACCCCGGGGGGCAGCAGTGGGACAGGGGGGCTCCTTTGTTACCCTTCTCTTAAACACCAGCTCCTTCTCCTACCTGGTCCCACAGCGCGGCGGCCACTTGGTCTATTACGGCGCCCAGTTCTCTGTACTCCCCAGAGTATCTGATATAGGCCCAGGTGCAGAGCGTGATGAGCGTCAGGCCCATGATCATGTTGCACAGGCTGGCTATGATGTCCAGGCCGATGAAGCCCGTCACGCCGGCGATCACGTAGGTGATGAAGATGACCACGAAGAGGGTGGCCGGCGTGCGGGCGGCGTGGAAGATGTTCTTGCTGTCGTTGTGCTTGATGTACTGGATGTAGAGCTCGTCGATCTCGGCCTCCAGCTGCTGCAGGTAGCGCCGGCTGAACTCCTCGCCGCCCATCTTCTTGACGCCGCGGAAGAGCTTCACGGCCTCCTCCTTGAGCTCCGCGTGCCTGCTCTGCAGGTCGCTGGGCGCCAGGAAGGGCTTGTCCCCGCCGCACACCTGCGGGGAACACGCGGCCGGTGGCGCCAGGGACCCCGCGCGAGGCCACGGGCCGCTCCGTCCCATGGCAAGACCCCCAGGAGGGCAGGCCAGGGCTTGGGCGCCCGGCCGCCCTCCTCCCACCCCGAGCTCCGGGCGCCGTCTCCAGGTGTCCAAGGGCCACCAGGGCTGGGTGGCCAGCCTGGAGACGGGGCATCCCAGCGCCTGCCGGGAATGGTTGGGGACAACCAAGGAGCAGCTAAAACAGGGCCGGGGCTGGTGCTGCTGCAGGGCTGGGCCGCAGAGGCTGCCCCGTCTGCCGGGGACACCCCAGCCAGGGCCTGCCCGGGCCCGGACCTGCTGCCGGCCACCAGGCCCCTGTCCCACCACAGTCCTGGGAGAGCCTTCCCGAAGGACACGGCACCGCGCTGCTCCCCTGCCTTGGGAGAGCAGCCTGCGGGGTCCCAGACTGTTCCCAATGTCCTCCAGAGAGCAGCCTGGGGGGTCCCCGCCCATTCCCAATGTCCTCCTACTTCTGGAGAGCAGCGGGGGGGGGTCCTAGACTGTTCCCAATGTCCTCCAGACAGCAGCCTGGGGGGTCCCCGCCCATTCCCAATGTTCTCCTACTTCTGGAGAACAGCCTCGGGGGTCCTAGACTGTTCTCAATGTCCTCCTACTTCTGGAGAGCAGCCTGGGGTGTCTCAGCCCGTTCCCAATGCCCTCCAGCCTTGGGAAAGCAGCCTGGGGTGTCCCAACTTGATCCCAATGCCCTCCAGCCTCAGGAGAGCAGCCTGGGGTGTCCCTGRCTGTTCCCAATGTCCTCCAGAGAGCAGCCTGGGGTGTCCCAGCCCGTTCCCGATGCCCTCCAGCCTCGGGAGAGCGGCCTGGCGTGTCCCACCTCCTCCATGCGCCGGCTGTAGGTGTCCTTGGCCGTGGCGACGGCCGCCAGGTTGTTGGCCTCGGCGGTGGCCTGCAAGGGGGGCCCGAGGGTGAGGGTCAGCGAGCGGCGCCGCGCGGCCCCCGCGCGCCCGCCCGGCCGCCCCTACCTGCAGCATGGACTTGGGGTGCGGCAGCTCCTCGCCTTGGTAGATCTTGATGTAGGCCTGCGGAAGAGAGCCCGGCTGGCTGCAGGGACGGCCCCGCGCGGCCGCCACGGCGCCCGGCCGGCCACCGCCACCGCCTCTACCTTGAAATACTCCACGAGGCCTCGGCACGTGATGTGGTTCCCGTTGATCTCCTTGACGTCCAGGCTCTCGGGCCGCAGCAGCCAGGGGATCAAAACCTTCAGGTTCTTGATGAACTCGTCGTCAATCTCTGGAAGGGAACCCAAGGCCGTCGCTCCTGGCTTGCAGCCAGAGCCGGACACCCACCGGGACACCCCATACACCAGCCCAGCCACCAGAGCATGGTGCCTCCCGGATGGATTTGCCCACGTTTGKGCCAAAGGCGGGCAAAAGGTCCCACCTTTGAGCTTGCCGTCGAAGTTGGGGTTGGTGGCCACYTTGAGGCCGGGATGGGGCAGCAGGAAGCAGGAGATGCTGGAGAAGCASGAGTGGATGTGCTTGCGCACGTTCTGCAGCTCCTCGTGCTGGTTGCCCGAGACCTGGGCGAGACGGCGCCGCGTCAGGCGGCCCGGGCGGCCCCGCGCGCCGCCCCCGGCGCCCACCCACCTTGAGGCGCTTCTCCAGGAACCTGGCGCCGCCGTCCGAGCCGTAGGAAAACTCGTAGGGGAAGCTCCAGTCGCGCACGAGGAAGATGAGGGACTGCGGGAGGGAAACACGGCGGGGTCAGAACCACGAGCGCGTCCAAAGCTGCCGGRCAAAACCCCCGGCTTGGGAGAGACCCCACGGGATGGGAGCCCGTGATGGGACCATCCCCGTCCCCGTTCCCCAGGCAGAGCGGCTGCAGGAGCCCAAGCTGCAGCCCCGCCGGCGCTGCACCCCGATGGGCACGAAGGTGCCGGGCTCCTTCACGCCAGCCACATGCATCCCCATCCAGCGGGAATTTTACAGGCTCATTTTTTAAGCCTCTTGCACCGGGCAGCTCTCCAGGCGGGCGGTTAATGGGAAGCAGATGTCGAGCAGCTGGGTGGCCTCAAGAATCGCCACCATTGGTCATCTGTGCCGAAGGAGCCCAGCTTTCCGGCCCAAAGAAACAAGGAAACTGCAGCCTGGCCGGCTCCTAATCCCTGCAAAGTCGTGGAACATCTCCGGCATCCCGCCTGCGAACCGGAGCCCCAGAGTCYGCGCTGGAAATCACGGCAGCTCCGCGGGCCTGGACCGGGAGGCAGCTCCGGGTTCCTCTCCTCTGTCCCTTAACGAGTCTTTAATCCTTTGCTGTGGACAAGCCGGCTCGGCACGTTATTCACTTCTTTTAATCTGCGTCTTTTCAAGATAAGGCAACGTATCGCGGTGGCCGATACCTCTAGCGACCAGACTGGAGGTCAAGCAGAACTGATGCTGGGATTTTTTTCCAGGGTTTATTATCCCAGGTACTGAGGGAATCATCCTCAGTTATGGTCTTGTTAAAACCAGCGCCTGTTAATCCCTCTTAATGACTTAAGCACATTTCGAGTTTCTCTGTGCAGCTGCAGCTCTGCCGAGCAGAAAGGAGCTCACTTGCGCCGTGCTCCGTGGCCACCTTCTCCTGACAGCCCTTAGACACAGACCAGCGAGAGCGATTCCACACCCAGCTTTTCCTGCACCCCATTAAAAACTTCTCCTTGCTCTCCCTGCTTCAAGCCATGGGTTTTTGCTCCCGTCTTTAGCATCTTCCATCACTCAGCTGCACGTGCCAGGGTGCAAAACACACCCAAAGCCGCCCCAAATCTGGTGTGTTTGTTATACTGGATAAGGTTTAGTTGTTATTGTCAGTGCCCGATGGGACCCACCATGTGCTCTGAGGTTCCCAGCACCGCTTGGAGCCGGACCAGTGTCTCCTCCTGCTTCCCGGCCTCCCCTTCTCGTCCCTGTCCCACGGGCCGTAGTGACACCTGGTGGCCACGGCCACGGGCTGGTGGCCCCACTCACCTGGAAGGGCTTCAGGCTGGTCTCCTCCATGGCCAGGCGGCCGTACTCGGTGAAGAGCTGCCGAGAGAAGCGCAGCGGGTCGGGGAGCGGGGCAGGGCAGAGCCCGCGGGCTCCCCGCTCCCTCTTTAACACTCCGGGATGCATCCACGGATGCCTTGGATCAGGCTCTCGCGTTGAACAGCTCAACGTTCAAACGGAGAGCTCCGAGTTGCACTGCTAATGGTGGGACGTTTCCATCGCTGTGGAAAACCGCACTGCCCGGAGCAGCACGGATTTTTCCAGGTAAACTTTAGCTTTTCCTTTTAGGAAAAGCCTGGCTAGGCGGGAACAGAAAGCTGCGGGTGGAGGGGCCTGCGGGGGCCTCACCTGCAGGTGCTGCAGGTCGTCCTCCTGCACGTTCTGCGACAAGTTGTACACCTGCATGGAGAAAGAGACATTGCAACGGGATCGGGACGGCCAAGTCCCGACGGGATGGATCCAGGAGGATGGCTCACACGGGAATCCCRCGCTCGGGATAGCCGGCACGTCGGCCTCATCGCTCCCATGGGCAGGGAGAGGCCGAGCTGCTCGCTTGGGACCATCGCTTTCGGGAAGCGAGGCGTGGAGCCCTCCTCCTCCTCCTCCTCCCTACCTGTATGGAGCTGATCATGGTGCTGAGGGCGAACACGGTGGCCGAGTCGCGCAGGGTGGACTGGCTGTCGAAGGTGCCCTGCGTGTCCATGAGCAGCACCGCCACCTGCGAGGAGACACAGCAAGCGGGAGCCCCGGCATTAACGCAGGCAGGCCRAGGGGGACGCCGAGACCGCGGCTGCGGTCGCGCGGGCGCCGGAGCCTCCGGAGCCGGGATGGGGCACGAGCTGCCCTGCGAGGGACCGGCAGCACACACAGAATCCCAGACCCACAGCATGGCTGAGGTTGGAAGGGASCCCSAGGGATCCCCCAGCGCAGCCCCTGCTCCMGCAGGGACACCCAGAGCACGGGGCACCCGGGCGCATCCAGGCGCCTTGGGAAGATCTCCAGAGCAGGACCCACCTTGGTACCGTCGGGCTTGTCCACCAGGAAAACCTCGCTCCATATCTGAATGCCGGTCGTCTCCCGCTCGGACCCTCCCCTCCAGGAGAACCCGGTCAGCGGCTCGTTGTCATCTCCCACCCAGTCCACGGCGTCCTGCGGGCGGGAACASGCGGAGCTGCCGGAGCGCTCGTCCCGCGGGGGCTCCGGCCCTTCCTCCCCGCCAGCACCGCGAGGGCTCCGCGCTCCGGGAAGGCCCCATGGTCCCGGACAAGCCGCAGCCTCCCTGGAGCACGGAGCCAGCATCACCCGCAGCGCCGGGCACGTGGGGTCCCCCCATACCTTGTTGTACATGTAGCGCAGCATGAAGTCCATGAGGAACGACTTCCCTTTCCGGAAAGCTCCGGCCACGGATACAGCCACCACCTCCTTATCTCTGACGGCCTCGGAGAGCAGGATGCGGTTGAGCGCCGCCTCGTCCAGCTCAAAGGAGTGGTCATCCTTGACGATGAGGACCTGCACCGGCCCTGCCTTCCTCACGGACTCCTCCTCCTCCGAGCTCCACTCATAGGTCTTGTCCCCGAAGCTCCCTGCTCACAGAGGTAAAGGACGGGTTGTGCTTGGCTTCCTTCTCCCGCGAGGACATCGGCAGTGCCTACAACCCACCCAACACCTGTCCCACCTCGGAGGAGGCTCCATGCTGCCCGGTCCCTGCTGGAACCACCCTCACCACTTGGGAAGGGAGCATGGGATGGGACAGTCCTCCATGTTTCCCAAAGAGAATCCCAGTTGGTTGGCTCAGACCAGGGGTTCCAAACCCAGCGACCTGGAGTCAACCCCTGTCTCCCACCCCAGCCTCCAGGCCCAGCTTTCTGGCAGCTCCAGCCATTCCAGAGCACAGGGGCTTCGTGCGGATAAAGGAGGAGCTACCAGTACCCAGAGGATGGAGCAGCAATGTCCCTRCAAACCCCAGCCGATGGCCCGTGTCACCGCTGTGGCCTCTGGGAAACCAACAGCTCCACGGCACAAACGCAGCCCCGACGCATCAAGCGGGTCCAGATCCCCGCAGGCCWCGGCTCACAGCGGAGGCACGGAAAGAACGGGCAGACCAAAGAACCCCAAGCAGCACCGGCCCCATGGCGGCAGCTCCGGAGCCGCCACGCTCGGAGCTCCACATCTTCCCCGCTCTGAGAGCAAAGAGCAGCGCCCTACGGACACGGGATGCCGGACACAGGCACCGCAGGCACCGGGATAAGAGGCACCGGGCTGTGCCCCCTGGTTGACCGCAGCCACCGCCGGCTGCTCCAGCCCACGACCCGCACRTGAAGCTCTCTGCTACCTGCTTGCACACCATGAAACGTCCCGCTCGGGTTATTAGCCCACGTGCAGAGCCAGGAAGCGTTTCACAAGCCGCCCGTGCACTGCTGCAAAACAACCACTGGAACATAAAAGCAGGGGTCGTTCCGGCACAAAAAGCAGCTGTTTTTGAGAAGGTTGCACCTGGCCACAACCACCGACACGTGGCCGAGGAGGAGGGCGAGGGCTGAAACTGCTCTGCGCACCCAGCTGCGTCGGTGCCCGCGCGGCCACATCGCCTCCCGGCTGCTCGTGCACAAATTGCCAGGACGCGGCTCCTTCCTCCTCCGGCTCCTTCCTCCTCCAGGCTCCTTCCTCCTCCCGGCTCCTTCCTCCTCCAGGCTCCTTCCTCTTGCCAGCTCCTTTCTCTTCCTGGCTCCTTTCTTTTCCCAGCTCCTTCTTCCTGCCAGCTCCTTCCTCTTCCCAGCTCCTTCCTCTTCCCGGTTCCTTCCTCTTGCTAGCTCCTTCCTCCTCCCGACTCCTTCCTCTTCCCGGTTCCTTCTTCCTGCCAGCTTCTTCCTCTTCCCAGATCCTTCCTCTTCCCGGCTCCTTCCTCTTCCAATCTCCTTCCTCTTTCTCTCTCCTTCCTCTTCCTGGCTCCTTCCTCCTCCCAGCTCCTTCCCCTTCCCGGCAGCCCATCCGCACGGTTCCAGGACCCACTGGGAGCATGGGGACAGGCAGCAGAGATGGTGCCTCGTGGTGTCACCCAGCCAGCGGCCACAAGGGACAGGCTGCAAACCCTAGCACAGATCAGGCGAGAAATGGAGTGTCCTTAATGYTCTGGAAAGCATTTCCCGCCAGAATTAAATAAGTTTGAGTGTTTCACTGAGTATTCCATGTTCACTACGACCATCTCCCCAAGACACAAGGTCAACCTTTGCCCTGAACGTGTTTGCCACAAATCCATTTCMTTGCAAGACTGGGGGCACCTTCCCTGCATGGAAAAACGGAGGCCAGCAAGAGGAGAGGCCTGGAAGCTGCTGGGATTTCTCTGGAATCTGGCGTCTCCACCTCTCAGAACACGCTGCTGAGGGGGCCGGGCCTTTGCTTCCAGGGATTGGACCTGCTCCCTAGGGACCTGCGCCCGAGGGACGAGGACACGGAGCGCGGCCCCGAGGCACCACGGGCAGCTCACGTCGAGCGGGTGCTGCTGCCAGCACGGCTGCAGGGGCTGCCCACGGGGACACCGTGAGCACCGGCCACCAAACCCGCCCGGGACAAATCCAAGTGCCAAAATCCAACCTGCAACCTCAGGGCACCTCCAGCGGGATYGGGGCGACCAAGGCAAGGCTGTCACCTCGCCGAGGGAACTCGACTGGAGTTCCGACGAGGAAAGGGCTGACACTGTTACTGGGGAGAAAAAAACAAAGGCTATGGAAACCATTGTTTTTTCCCCAGTTTTAGCCTGTTGCTGTGCACCTGGGAAGCGAGGCACGGAGGAGCTCGGTGAGGCAGTTTTGAAGAGCAGCCMCTTCTCCCCAAAGCATTTCTGGCCCATCAGAGCTCTCAGAAATCTCCAGGCCAGTCTGAAAAGCCTGCCAGGAAGCTCCAACTGCCTCAGCTCTGGAAAGCTGAATTCCCRAGGGGCGGGACACTCTGGAGACAGGAGACTTTGCACCCAGCGACTTCCAGGCCCTGCTTTTACATGAGTGACCTGGAGCACAGATCTCTGGTGGCTTCACGGTGACACGGGACCACGTTACTGAGCAGCTGCGACGGGAAAGCACCAACAATTCCAGAGAAATCCTCCTCCGGGCCTTCCTCAAGCTYGCTGGCCCGCCTGGGATTTGGGCTGACAATCTGTCTATAGGTAAAACCAGGTCCCTCCCTGTTCCCTAAAAGGGTTTCTGGCTCCATGTCACCACGTGGCTCATTCCTGGCACCAAGCGCGAGGCCCGTGCTCCACTTGGAGCGGATGCCAAGAGAGCCTTGAACGATGCCCGACCCTGTGGTGCCCTCCTGCCCACGGCTAAACCCAATGCACAACTCACTCTGTGTGGCACTCCAGGGATATAGGTGCTCCCAGGGATACAGGTGCTCCAGGGATATAGGTCCTCTGAGGATACAGCTACCCTGGGGATATAGGTGCTCCAGGGATATAGGCGCTCCAGGGATATCACAGATTGACAGAATGGCTGAGGTTGGAAGGGACTCCTATAGATCATCTAGTCCAAGCCCTGCTCAAGCCGGGACACTCAGAGCACGGGACACCCGGGCGCATCCAGGTGGGTTGGGAAGGTCTCCAGAGAAGGAGACTCCACAAAATTGTAGGTGCTCCTGGGAATATAGCTGCTCCGAGGATACAGGTGCCCTGGGGAATATAGGTGCCYTGGGGATATAGGTGCTCCAGGGATATAGGCGCTTCAAGGATATAGGCACCCTGGGGATATAGGCACTCCAAAGACATAGGTGCTCCAGGGATATAGGTGCCCCAGGGATACAGGCACCTCAGCCTAACCCAGCTTGGAGAGCTGCCTGGAGGCACCTCCTCCCGGGCTCCATCCCATCACTCGCCCGCATTTCCCTAACGCTCTTCAAACRAGTGATTCATTTGGGGGAAACCAAGAGCTGCCCCGCGCTCCTCCCCAGCCTGACAGCGCAGGGAGTAACCAGGACATCATTTGGTCCTGTGCAAAACAGCACTGTGGTTTTTAGTGCCCCCGGGCACGCTGCTAGCGCGCACGGGGCCTTTGTGCTGCCCTCGCAGAGCCCCCGGCTGCTCCTCGCCAGCCGCGCTGAGGAAGCGGCCCCGGGGGACATCGTGGCCTGACGTCCCTCTGCTCCCYGGCCACGGGCACATCCTGCCGGGCGCTCAGCTCCTCCCGGATAACGGCCGCTCTCTGTGCCGCGGGCTGCTCCCGGTGTGACACGCAGGCGTTCTGCAATCCCGCTCGTACCTGCTGTGTCAAGCGGCCTGGCAAAGCGCTGCACAATCATCGCAGGCCTGGGCCGTGCCGCGCGCACGGATGCGGGCGGCTGATCCCGCGGGATCCATTCCGGCTCAGGGGCGGCCCCGGAGTCCTGCCCAGTCCCGCCGGAGCCCCGGCCGCGGCGCCAGGGCGCGTTTCGGGCGAGCCCCGTGTCCAAGGGGGTGACACGGGCCGGGCTGCTCCAGCAACGGGCGCCGCGGAAGGAGCCCCGGGCAGCGCTCACGCCCAGGCGCGGGGCGCACGGCGCGGGGCTCGGACCTCCCCGCGGA